GGCCATTTTTCTATCCTCCTTTGCAAAGTGTCTGCAATAAGTCTTTTGTCTGTTTTTTTTTTACTGGGTTATCTTGTTCTTATCAGTTGTAGCAGTTATTTATATATTCTGGATATGTGTCCATTTTGAATGTATGTTTTGCAAATATTTTCTTGAGGGGATAGATTTCAGTCTGATATAAAGAATTTCCCTGTCACTAGAAGAGTTCAAACCGAGAACACTAAGTTGCTAAGTCATGTCCGACTCTTTTGTGACCCTGTGGACTGTAGCCTGCCAGGCTCCTCTGCCCATGGGATTTTCCAGGCAAGAATACTGGAGTAGGTTGCCATTTCCTCCTCCAGGGGATCTTCCCAGCCCAGGGACTGAACCCAGGTCTCCTGCATTGGCAGGCAGATTCTCTCCCACTTAGCCACCTGGGAAGCCCAAGGAGAGATTAGGCCACAGATTAGGGACACTGCACTAGACGGATGGGCTAGATAATAATGCCCCTGTGTGTATAACATTTTACAGGAAATCACGTCATTTACCCATTCTTGACTTCATTTGACCCCTTCTACCATCTGGCAAAATAACACTGGTATCTCTGATCATTTTTAAAACTCCTCTTTTTATTTTTAAGCATGGCTTCCCTGGAGTTTCCCTGGATCACCATAGGTTTATGGTCAGTGCGTAAGTAAGCTAGTAAGGCTTTCACCTTTTGTTGATGGATCAATGTGAGGGGCGGGGAACACAATTCAAACTTTATGTCGTTAGCAAACCTGCCACAGCTTTGACTTTTTGTATGTTTGCAGCCTCACATTTGGCCAAGGATCAGTAGACTACTGGGGCCTGCTAGGTCTCTCATAAGCATGGGTGTAAATTTTACGTCTATGCAGCTCCCATATCACCAAGAATATGTGGGAGTTTATCAAAGCTTATAATGGCTGTCATGTTCCCCAAACCTTCCTGAAACTTCTGGCTGGCCTGTCTTTTGCTTGCCCCAAACAGTACCACAATTTCAGGCTAGCCATGATGTCAGCCTTCCCTGATTTATTGCCACCAAGACTGCCACTGTTTTGACAATGCCCCAAGCATGGATTTTTCCAAATTTTGCTTCCAAATCAAGTCAGTCCCTTCTGGCAGCAAGGCTGCAGGTCGGTCCTTACAACCTGCCCTGCCCTGATAGAACCACTGCTCCATGCAGCTGAGGGGGATCTCAAAGCAGCTCCAGGACAAAATGCCATGTTTTCCCACCATTCTTACCAAGGTTTAGTAGATTTTCTTGAGTTAATGCTTCTCAGTTTTTTACATGTCTTTGGTCAGTTCCCAGCATCTTGAAATTGTGGTTTTTTATGATGTTTCCTATTTTCTCACTCTTTTGGGAAGTGACTTCGCAGTGCTCCTTAGAGACATTCCAAAATTTCCCTCCCCTTCCTTCTTCTTGAAGACCCGTGTAACACTTTTACTTACATTTCTTTAGCCAGAATTAGGCACCTGGACAAATACTATCTGCAATGGAGTGTAAAAAATAGTATTTATTTGCACGGCAGCATGCCCAGCCAAACTTACACATTCACAAAAACTGAGGTCCTGTTAATTTGAGAGAGAAGAGGAAATGGAGAATTGGTGGGCAATGAACAGTCTGAATAGTGCTATTCTATGATCTATGGATAGGAAAAATAAATATTGTAAAGTTGACAACATCCCTGAACTAATTTATAAACCCAATGAAATCTGAATGAAAATACAACCAGGATAATCAAGTGACACTTGTACTGATCTGGGAAAAAACTACACGGTAACTCTGAAAAAAATTGTTTAAAGGAGACCAAAGAGATGAAATCAGCCCTACGAGATAGCAAAGTGTCAGAAATTCAGATCCTTTACATCTTTCTTTACTGCCATCCCTAGGGCAGAAAAACTAGAAAAATAAAAAAAAAGTTTGCATCCATATGATGAAAGGTTAGTTTCTTTTTCATAAAAATAAGAAAAAGGTAAACAGCATAATTTAGCAGTAAGTGGCTTTTAGTTTTTTTAATTTTGCTTTTTAAAAATTGCTTTAATCATCCAAGTAACATGGTCTTTGGTAGAGAGTCAGTCTGGATTGGGGGCAGGAGAAGATATTGGATGGAGAGGTCATGTTTTCCAGTTATTTTCTTATCACAGAATGGCAAAATACCCTAAAACTCAAGAAAAATGAAAGATGGTACATTACTATAGATTCCTTAGAAGTTAAAATAATTATAAGGCAATTTTATGAACTACTATATGGGTTTACATGTGTTTAACAATTATATGTATTTAAGGGCTTCCCTGGTGGCTCAGATGGCAAAGAATCTGCCTGCAATGTGGGAGACCTGGGTTTGATCCCTGGGTTGGGAGATCCCCTGGAGAAGGAAAAGGCAACTCACTCCAGTATCCTTGCCTGGAGAATTTCATGGACTGTACAGTCCATGGGGTTGCAAAGAGTCAGACAAGACAGAGAGACTTTCACTTTCACTTTTTATATGTGCTTAAATTAGACAACTTAGATGAAGAGGACAAATTTGTAGAAAAATACAAATTACCATAACTGACTCAAGAAGAAAAGAACATTTGATTAGACCTAAGTGAGTAAAACTATTAATTAGCAATAAAAAATAATCCTGCAGAGAAAGCCTAGGTGGCATCCCTGGTGAATTCCATCCAACATTTGAGGAAGAAATAGTGGCAATTGTTCACAAACTCATTCAGAAAATAAGAGGGAATACTCTCCAATTCATTTCACATGGCCAATAATATCTTGATACCAGACCCAGACAAGACATCACAATAGACCTAGATCAAAGACACACAACAAACCACAGTGGCAAGAAAAAAAAAAAAAAGCAAAGGAAATGCAGCAACTTATTTAAAAAAAAAATGACAAGTGGCATTTATCCCAGATATGCAAGGTTAGTTAATATCTGAAAATAAATTAATATAATATACCATATTGATAGAACAAAGAACAAAAATCACATGTTCAACTTAACAGGCACAGAAAAAGGCATTTGCTAAAATCCAATACCTCTTTATATATATAAACTCTCAATAAAATAGGAAGAGAAGGGAATAACTTCATCCTGCTAAAGAGCATCTAAGAAAAACCTACAGATAACATAATACTTAATGGTTAAGAAATGAGTGGAGTGTTTTCCATTAAAACTGGGAACAAGTCAAGAATGTCTAGTCTCTCCACTTCTATTCAGCATCATACTTGATGCTGCACTAACTGGTGCAGTAAGGTAAGAAAAAGAAACAATAGGAATTCAGACTCGAAAAAAATAAACAGCCTTTATTTTCAAATGCCATGATCCTGAATGTAGAAAATCCTATAGAATCTAAAACAAACAAAAACACAAAAAACAAACTATTAGAATTAATGAGTAAATTTAGAAAAGTCACAGGATACTACTAACTCAACGTACAAAAATCAGTTAGATTGCTACACGTTAATAATGAATAATCCAAAAATGAAATTAAGAAAACAATTCTGTTCACAACAGCATTAAGGAGAAATACTTAGGAACAAATTTAACAAAAGAAGCACGAGGCCTGCACACTGAAAACTAGAAAACATTGCTTAAAAAATTAAAAATGACCCAAGCAAACGATGAGATTGACCTTCTTCATGGGTTGGAAAGCTCATTATTGTTCAGATGGGAGTTCTCTCCAAACTGATCTATAGAGTAAATACCATCTCTATCGAAATCTCAGTAAATCTTTGTAGAAACTGACAAAATGATCCTAACAATTATATGGATATTTGAAGAATCTACAATAGATAAAAACTAGGGGGAAAAAAACAATATTGGACGCTACACTACCAATTTCAAGCCTTATTTAAGGCTACAATAATTATCACCATGTTGTGTTGCTATGAGGATAGACAAATAAATTAATGGAACAGAGTAGAGTGTCTGGAAATACACCCTTACAATAATGGTCAGCTGATTTTCAACAAAACTTAAAGGACAGTCCTCTTTTTTTCCTTTTTTTTTTTTCCTGGCCAAGACTCCTACTTTTGGATTAGAGATTAACTTTCAAGGGGGCTTGAAAGGATCCAGAGGAGAAGGTAGACTCCCAAAGCTGAGGTAAGAGTGAATGAATGGGTAGAAAGGTTAAAGAAAAAAACCTCTCAGAAATTTCAGCAAACAATTTGCTTAAAGACATTTTTAAACCGTCAGGGAAACATTTCCCTAAAAGAACCTACAACTCTAAAAACTGCTTTTGCAAATATGGTACTTGGAAGTAAAAGTATATAAATGTTAATCCCCTTTGACCCAGAAACCCCACACCCGGGAATTGATTGATTCTAAGGAAATAATTCAAATGAATGTTGTTACAGAATAATTTGCTATAGGGACAAATTTGAAACAAACTCAAAGTCTATTGTTTAATAAGTTATAATACACTAACCCAGTAGACTATTATGCATTCATTTGTAAATATGGTAGGTAAAGCAACATGGCAGTGTGTTTACAAAACAAAAATGAGTATCCATATAGCAAAGCCTGGGAGGGAACTCAGAGAAGTGAAAATAATGACAATGCTGAGTGTTAGGAATATGACCATGTTTACTTCTTTTTTTTTTAACCAGTAAATGCACATATTTTTTATATAGTGCCCAAGATTCAGGGTGGAAGGGGACTACACAAGGGCATGAACACAGAGGGAGAGAAGAGAATGGAAGCAAGAGGAAATGGGCACATGGGCAGATGGATGAAAGAAAGTGAAGCTATTAATAAATGAACAAGAAAGGGAGGCATGGAGGTAAGTCAGGACTGTTAACTGTGTGGATCATTCATCATCACAGGGACAGGATCATGCAGACTTGTCAGTCTACGAAAGGAGTAGTTTAATTTGAAAGGAGAAAATTTCCTGGCATATAATTATGGAAACTCAGAGAATAAAAGAACAATTTATCCATGAGTTAAAAGAGACATACTGTATTTTAAAATAGCAAAAGACTGAGAAAAAATAGGTTGGTGCTTATACAACTATGGCAGAAGCTTAGTAGGACATGCCCTTCGCATGGGATGGATGTTTCGGGGCACCATTGGGTGGGTGGACAGGATCTCCTGGATCTTGTCCTGGAAGTTCTTTTCTGCTGCTATCCCCGCTTCAAACTCTCGGCGCTCCTCTTCCCTTTCTGCTTCCCGAGCCTGCTGCTGGGAGCATATCTGCATCTGAAGTTGCTTCCTGTACTCCTGGGCTAAACTGCAGCGTCTAACATGATAGAAATATCAAAGCATATAATTATCAAAGTAAGCATTTGGATTTATGTAGGGCATTACGATTAAAATGTGATTTTAGAAGTCAAATAAAGTTACCACTAAAATCAGGGTGAGTGGGGAAGAAATAGATGAAAAATTCAATAATGTGTTTAATACACAATAATTATGACAGTCTTAGAACAAATGATTGATTTTAGTGAGGGAATGTCTCTTCCCCATTCAAAAGATTTACTGCTATGTGGAGAGAGCCCTTGGCCTCTCTGCATCCTCCACCCCTACTCCCCTCCAAGAAGAAGTGACATTGGTAAAATGGAACAGGCTGCTCTGCCTGTTTCTTTTCTGCTTTCTATCAAAAGGGGGCATATTCTCTTTGCAGGGGGGCTTCCAGTGGTCTGGTACTGCTGGTGACTGGATAGGTAAGTCCACCTCATTCTGTTTAGTATTAAGCAGATGACTTCCTCTATGTGGAGGCTTCATTTAAAATGTTACAGTGATTTTTTTCCCTTGTGGTAAAACACACGTAATTTACCACCTTAACCATTTGTAAGTGAACATCTCAGTAGTGTTAAGTATATTCACACTATTGTGAAACAGCTCTCCAGGACTTTTTCATCTTGTAGATCTGAAACTTTATACCTATTAAACAACGCTTTCTTTGACTGTTCCCCTGGCCCTCGGTAACCACCATTCTACTTGCTATCTTTATGAATTCGACTACTCTAGGTACTGAAAGTAAGTGAAATCACACAGCATTTGTCTTTTTGGGACCAGCTGATTTCACTTAGCCTGTCCTTAAGGCTCATCCATGCTGCAGCACCTGAGAGGATTTCCTCCCTTCTTAAGGCTGAATCCTATTCCACTGCATGTGCCTACCACACTTTGTTCACCCGTTCTTCTGTTTAAGGACATCTGGGTTATTTCCACCTCTTGGCTATTACGAATAGTGGTGCTATGAACATGAGTATGCAAACAACTCTTTAAAGTCCTGCTTTCATTTATTTTGGATAGATACCTGGAAGTGAGATTGCTAGATCATATGGTAGTTCTAGTTTTAATTTTTTGAGGAAATTTCATATTGCTTTCCACAGCAGTTTTATCATTTTATAATCTATAAACCATATTATTAATACCAAATTTTGTCAGAAATAAAGATTATCGCACACTTATGCCTCTGCAGCAGATTCTCTTTTCCAAAGATGGCCACAGTGCTGTCCCGCCTACCATACACTCTTCTGCAATGTGAACCTCTAAACCCTGCCAAGAAGTGGAGAATTTCTCCATTCCACTGAAGGCCAATGGGCCCTGTAGGACAGAAGTGGTGTTAAACCAGCCCTAAGCGTAGTCCTTATCTGGCCTGGCAGCTTCCTCGTTCTGTCTCTTGGAATGCTTGCTATTGGCACTCTTCCTCTCAGAACGAGACACCACTCTGTGAGAAGCCCAAGATGCATGGAAACGGCACGTGTAGGTGTTCTGGCTAATACCAAGTGAGATCTCCAAGCACAGTCAGCACACACTACCAACTCTAAGGATAGGTATCTTAAGTGTCCATTGTAGCCCCAACCAGAACTGGCTTGAACCACATGAGAGATGCCAAGCAAGAACCACCAAGCTGAGCCTTATCAATAACAGAAACATGAGACATCATCAAAACTCGCTTTAAACCACAAATTTGGGGATGTTTTGTTATACACCAATAGGTAATTGTAGTAATTATAATACCTTCTGCTCACTCTTTTTTCAGTTGATTCAAAAGTTGGGTAGGGAAGAGAACCGCTATTAAATCCCCCTCACATCTTCAACAAAAGGCTTTTCAAAAGTGGGAGGGAATGACCTCCAGAGCAGAACAAGGAGCAGGAAGCCAGATGTTGTTGTTAGTGCCCCCACACTGACAATAGGCTCCCGTATATGAACCACACCCTTTCTAGAAAGAAGAGAGCTTATTTCTATGCATCAAATGTGGGTGAGCCAGGGAACAGGCCCCAGGGACAGGGAGGCTGACCAGTAATTAGAGGAGCCTGGTCCTCTTTCTCCACTACACTGGCCACCTGAATTGAGTGTCATGGCCATCAGTGGGAAGGGACTGATATGATCCGAGAAAGGCTGCCAAGGAGGTATTGACCAATTTCCCCCACCTGAGCCTGATCATGGTGATCAGAGGAACATCTGAGGGAAGTGCTATATCTCAGAGTACCCAGAGCATTTTAGTTTCCCAGCCCAGTGAGGCTACAAAAATCTTCCCAGGACGTTTACATGGAATCATACCCCCATAAGCCATTTCTGTTCATCTAATTAGGTCACATTATATGTCAGGATTTATTTCATGGGGGGAAAAAATCTTATTTCATTACGATTTAGGGTTGGTGCCAATTTTATAAAAATTGTTTCTAAAATATTTTGTCTTTTAAGATGTTTGTCCAGTTTAACACAATGTCTGTAATCAGAATCTATATAATGGCAATAGAGTTGAATTTTACTGAAACGGTTTGTGCTTATTTTTGTTCTTTTGAACTGGGTCTTTATTTTTTATATGAAATTTTAAAAACTGAATTGAGCTTTTGGGACAAATGGTCAAAAGGCTGGGTTGGCCAAAAGATTCATTTGGTTTTTTTCCTTAAGATGGCTCTAGTAGCACTTAGTTGTCTCTAACTTCGTTGAAAACAATTTTGTTAGATTGCATTGTGATGGTTGTCATATCAGTGTGCATTAAAAAAAATTATCAAAATTGGTGAATTTTTGTGTAGCCATTTTAATATTGAAGATGGGAAAAAAAAGCAATATTTTTGGCATATTATGTTTCATTACTTCAAGAAAGGTAAAAACAACTGAAATGCAAAAAAAGATTTGTGCAGTGTATGGAGAAGGTACTGTGATTGATCGAACGCATCAAAAGTAGTTTGTTAAGTGTTGTGCTGGAGATTTCTCTCTAGATGATGCTCCACAGTCAGGCAGACCAGTTGAAGTTGACAGCAATCAAACCGAGACACTGAGAACAATCAGTGTCATACCAACAGTATACCAATGAACATTATACCACGAGACAGCCGACATACTCCAAATATCCAAACCAAGTGCTGAAAATCATTTGTACCAGCTTGTCTATATTAATCACTTTGATGTTTCGGTTGCACATAAGTTAAGCAAAAACAAACAAAAAAACCTCTTTGACTGTATTTCTGTATGTGATTCTTTAATGTACAAAAACACTCTGTTTTTAAAACAAATTGTGACAGGTGATGAAAAGTGTTCCATACAATATTATGGAATGGAACAGATCATGGGGCAAGCAAAAATAAACCACCACCAACCACACCAAAGGCCGGTCTTCATCCAAAGAAAGATGATGTTGTGTATGTAGTGGGATTGGAAGGGAGTTCTGAGTTCCTCCTGGAAAGCCAAATGATTAATTCCCACAAGTACTGCTCCCAGTTAGACTGACTGAAAGCAGCACTTGACAAAAAGTACCTGGAATTACATGCTTTCTGTTCAACAGGAAACAGACAATCTTCCATCATGATAATACAAGACTGCATGTTTCTTTGATGACAAGGCAACAATGGCTACACTTTGGCTAGGAAGTTCTGACTCATCCACCATATTCACCAGACATTGTACCTTCAGATTTCCATTTATTTCAGTCTCTACAAAATTCTCTCAATGTCAAAGATTTCAATTCCCTGGAAGACTGTAAAAGTCACCTGGAACAGTTCTTTGCTCAAAAAGATAAAAAGTTTTGGGAAGATGGAGTTATGAACTTGCCTGAAAAGTGGCAGAAGGTAGTGGAACGAAACAGTGGATATGTAGTTCAATAAAGTTCTTAGTGAAAATGAAAAATGTGTCTTTTTTTTTTTTTTACTTTAAAACTGAAGGAACTTTTTGGCCGACCCAAAAATACTGAGGTAAAATAATAATAATACATGAATTATGGCACAGCATCCTTTATGCTAAAAATCTCCCTTTTTTAGATAGTAATTATGAAGAAAACAAAGCCATACCTTGTAAAATTCTCCCTCTCTTCACAGTTAAGCTCTTTAAGACCTTCATTTATGCGTTCCTGTTCCATAGTACGTTCTTCCTGTTCTTTTGCTTTCCGTTGCACTAAGAAAGACAAAAGTAATTTTTGCTAAATGACTCTTTTCAGAAAAGACTTGACAACATCATCTGGGCATCAATGCCATATTGTCTTTAGAAAGGCAGAGCTTAGAATCACTGGATTGGATCTTAGTTCAATAAGGTAGAAGTAGTCATCCCCATTGGGGCTTCCCATAGTGGTAAAGAACCTGTCTGCCAATGCAGGAGACACAAGAGACATGGGTTCAATCTCTGGGAAGATCCCCAGGAGTAGAAAATGTCAACCCACGCCAGTATTCTTGCCTGGAAAATTCCATGGACAGAGAAGCCTAGCAGGACACAGTCCATGGGGTCTCAAAGAGTCAGACATGACTGAATGACTGAGCACACACACAGTCATCTCCATTGAGGAAAGAATAGGGCTTAGGTTCCTATGTGCTATAATCTACAGAGACTTTCTCATAACTATTTGCTATTGAAATCTATGAACAGTTTTTTTCATAGCAGATTACCACTGTAAGAATATTTCTCGCCTTTCTCTTCTTGAGGACAAACAGTTCTGTTGCCATTTATGTTAACAGGAGAGTTTCTATGTTACAAAAAGAAGCAGTATATAAGGCTTTTATAAACTAAATAAGGAAAACCTAACCAACCCAGTAGAAAAAGATTGACAAAACAGAGTTCACAAAGGAGGCGATATACATCTGAGATGCATTTACCTTCGGCCTCCAAACCCATTTACAGGAACTTATCTAATTACATATGAGCCAAAAAACTGTGTACAGAGACAGTCAGCCTAAAAAACTATGTACAGAGACAGTAACCCACAATGCTACAACAGCAAGAAAAATTCCAAACCAAGTTGAAGGTGCATTGGTTGTATTTAGGTAAAATAAATTATGATCCAGTTTTATAATGGCTTTCTAGCCAGCATTACAAATTTTAAAATTGAAGAAAAATGACCTGAAAAAATGTTTATGCTAAGTGGGAAATGCAGGCTGTAAAACAATATATACCACAAGATACTAATTTGTGAGAGGAAATTACATACATAGTAAAAATACTGGAAGGAAATGCAGGAAGTTGTGAACAATAGCTATTGCTGGGTGGTGGAATTATGGTTGATTTTTACTTCCTTGTTTATAAGTGGTTCCAAATACTTAAATTTTCCATGTTTTCTCAATGTATGCCAAAACATTTATCATGGTGGAATACAGAAATCTTTTCAGTGTAGACGCTTTCTTCTCATTTCTTAAAACTCAATCTAACACTAGCTTAACAATTTTCAACTGACATTATAATTCTCTTATAACAGAGTGGAGAATTAATCAATGGAACCTAGATGAGCTTTCTCTCACAAAGACAACCAGTGTGAAGTCCAGTGGTATCCTACTAGTAAATGTGTCCATCTGGACACAGAACGGTGGAAATCTTCTCAGTGATTATTTCCTTTCGTGACCAAGCACTGTTTGAGGGAATTCAGTGGTGTCCTAAGACAGAGATGTGAGCAAGAAATGATGAGACCACCAGAAAGAAAATTCTTTTGTGAATAGGGGAAAGAAGGTTTATCATGCATAGGGGAACAGAGTGGGTCTCTCAAGGAATGCGACATTTGAGCTGGGCTTGAAGTATGTCCAGGATTTCTCAAGATCAAAAGCATCACAGGGAGAGAAAACTACCCAAGCAAAAGGCATGCAGGTGTGGGCGTATGGAGACACCTGCAGAAAGACACTTAAGTACTCAATTAGGTAAGGTCCACAGAGCAGGGATCTTGCCTTAATCCCTTTTACATGCCTCATGGTATTTCACACATGCTATCTGTCTAATAAATACTGAGGTCGCTACTTGAATTGATTAGGCCCAAGTCTAACATAATCGTAACTCCTTTCCTTACACTGCTCTTGAACTTGAAGTTTTCTTGTGCACATGACCTCGCTCAGAAGCTGTTTCCTCGCCTCCTTTTCAAGTCTCAGCTCCGTGTCCTTCTCGGCAAATTTCTTTTCCTTCTCTTTCTCTAACATTCTGTCCAATTCTTTCTCCCGAGCTTTTTCTTCCTCACGCCGCTGTGCCAAGTATTGATAATAGATCTTCTGTTCTCTTCTCATATCCTCCTACATAGAATAAAAATTACCTCGTGTTGTTAAAATTTTTAGGTGTGATAATACTAGGGAGCATAAGTTTTAAAATCTTTTAGAACCATAATTCCTTAGAATTACATACCAAAACATTGACAGATGATGTATTGTTTTTAGGGTTTACTTTTAAGTATTCAAATACTTTTAAGTATTTACTTAAAAGTAAACCCTAAAAGTAATACATCATCTCGGGGAGATCTCCTGGAGAAGGAAATGGCAATCCACTCCAGTATTCTTGCCTGGAAAATCCCATGGAAGGAGGAGCCTGGTAGGCTACAGTCCATGGGGTCACAAAGAGTCAGACACAACTGAGCGACTTCACTTTCACTTTTTAAAAATATTCAAGGTGACTGTGGGAAATGGGTGGGAGGGGTAGATGAAACAGGAATGGCCATTGGCTACTGGTTGTTGAAGCTAGGTAATGGAACCATGGGGATTCATTGTACTATTTTTGCATCTGTTTGAAATATTTTATAACACATTTTGAATAGTTCAAATAGTAATAATGCAAACACTTTCTCAAAGTGTTCCTCAAAGAAGTTCCCAAATAATTTTCAATTATACAACTTTATTTTCATTTATTTAAATTTAGGTAGATAAGAGTGTTAGCTTAACAAACAAAATATGTCACAATTATTATAGCACTGTCTCTGACTAGAAAATGATACTTTATATCAGCAAATCTCAATCTTAGCTACAATTTGGAATCACTTAGGGAGCTTTAAAAAGTACTAAGGGCTAAGTCTCACACCTAGGGATTCCTTCCCAATGGATAGCTTTTAGGTTCCCTAGGTGATTTGAATGTGCAGCTCAGGACCCAAACTGGCTTTATAACACAGTCATTTTCAGGTGGCTTCTGTCTTTCATGGTAGTATATTTGTGTTACTCCATCCAATCTCTGATCTGATCTCTTCTGAGAATATCATAGATCTGAGGTAGAACTAGCAAGGTCTGAGAGTGTAGTTGCACCCTCAGAATGGCTTGTATACATAGTTTCATACTTTGGGGAATAATTTAACAAAAAGTACAAACCTTATACTCTGAAAACTAAGAAGCATTATGAAAAAAATTAAAGAAGACCTAAATAAATGGAAAGACATCCTATGTTCATCGATCAGAAGACAATATTGTTAAAATGGCAACTGTCCCCAAACTGGTCTATAAATTCAAAATAATTCCTATTAAAATCCCAATTTATTTCTTTGCAGAAATCAACAAACTGATCCTAAATTCATATGGAAATACATGGGAGCCAGAATAGCCAAAACAACTTGAAAAAGAACAACAAAGTTGGAAAATTCACATTTCCTGATTTCAAACTCACTACAAAGCTATAGTCATTGAGACATATAGACTAATGAAATAGAACTGAGAGTCAAAAATAAATTCTCACATTTACTATCAATTGATTTTTGACAAGAGTTCCAAGACAATTCAATAGAGGAAAAATTCTCTCTTCAACAAATGGTGCTGGGAAAAGTGGATATCTACATGCCAAAGAATGACGTTGGGCCTCTACCTCATACCACATACAAAAGTTAACTCAAAATGGATCAAAGGCCTAAATGTAAGAGCTAAAACTCTAAGACTTTAAGAAGAAAACATAGGACATCTTCAAGACCTTGTGTGTAAGAAAAGTGTTTTAGATATGACACCGAAAGCACAAGCAACAACAGGAAATACAGATAAATTTTACTTCATCAAAACTTAAAACATTTGTACTTCAAGGGACACCCACAGAATGAGAAAAATATTTACAGATGACTTATGTGGTAAGTCACTCCAGTATCCTTGCCTGGAAAATCCCATAGACAGAAGAGCCTGGTGGGCTGCAGTCCATGGGGTCGCTATGAGTTGGGCATGACTGAGCAACACTAACACTATGTGATAAGGGATTTGTATCTAGGACACATAAAGAACTCCTACAGCTCAATAATAAAAAGACAACCCAATTAAAAACTAGGCAAATAACTTGAATAGACTTCTTAAGACTTCAGCAACCTTTAGATAGATTAGTCCAAGGAAGATGTACAAATGGCCAACATGCACAGAAAAAGAGGCTCAACATTAGAGAAATGCAATGAAAACCACAGTGACACATCACTTCAGACAAACTAGGATGGTTGAAGTAAAAAAGACAGACAACAACAAATGTTAACAAGCATGTGGAAAAATCAGAACTCTTGTAAGTATGTGAGAATGTAAAACAGTGAAGCCACTTTGGAAAACAATTTGGAGAATATTCACAGGCTTAAACATCGAGTCAGTAATTCTACTCCTTGGAATATGCCCAAGAGAAACAAAAATACATGTCCAAACAAAAATTCACATATGAATGTTCATATTAGCATTATTCAAAATAGTGAAAATGTAGACACAAATCAAATGTCCATCAGGGACAAACATATAAACAAAATATGATATATCCATACAAGGAGATATTATTCACTCATATAAAGTCATGAAGTACTCATACAGTCTACAACATGGATAAACCTTAAAAACATTATGGATGTGAGAGTTGGACTATAAAGAAAGCTGAACACTGAAGAATTGATGCTTTTGAACTGCGGTGTTAGAGAAGACTCTTGAGAGTCCCTTGGACTGCGAGGAGATCAAACCAATCAATCCTAAAGGAAATAAGTCCTGAATATTCACTGGAAGGACTGATGCAGAAGCTGAAATTCCAATACTTTGGCCACCTGATGCGAAGAACTGACTCATTTGAAAAAACCCTGATGCTGGGAAAGATTGAAGGCAGGAGAAAAAGGGGATGACAGAGGATGAGATGATTGGATGGCATCACCAACTCAATGAACATGAGTTTGAGCAAGCCTTGGGAGTTGGTGATGGACAGGGAAGCCTGGCATGCTGTAGTCCACAGGGCTGCAAAGAGTCAGACATGACTGAGCAACTGAACTGAACTGAATTGAAAGAACTCAGTCAAAAGATCCCATAATATATAATTTCATTCATATGCAAGTCCAGAATAGGAAATCAATAGAGATAGGAAGGCTATTAGTAGTTGCTCTGAACTAGGGGTAAAGAAAAAGAGAGGAAGTAGGATAACAAAAAAAGTTCTGAAATCAACTGTGGTGATGGTGGCACTAAAATGCATTGAAATGTACATTTTAAATGGATGAATTGTATGTTTTATGAATGATACCTTAATGAAGCTGTTAAATAAGATGATCCAATTGAGAACAAAAAGCTCAATAACAAAAATAGTAAGAAAGAAAGGAACAGAGGAAGGGAGGAAGGAAAAGAAAGAGAAACATAAACAATTCAATTAGAAAACTGGGCAAAAGATATCAGAAGATATTTCACTGAAGAGAATACAAGCAAGCATATTAAAAGTTGGTCAACATCATTAGCTATTATTGAAATGCAAATTGAAAACAAAATGAGGTTGGATGGAGGCTCAAGTGTGGACAACTCTGAGTTAAAAACTCTAAGGGGACCCAGTGGCCCAAGGGGAACCCCACAACTTTTGTGAATTTTACCTCCTGCAGTTCTACCAGTTTCTCACAGTAAATATCTGAGAAAAATCCCTTCATGTATATGGCAAGGGGAGGGGAAAATGTACTATTCTGAAATACACTAGAGCATTCTATTCTTCTTAATGAGGTTTGCCCGCAGGGGAAAGTATTTAACCAAAGCTTAACCTTTTGGGGTTTTATCAGAGCTTCACTGATCTGAGGGATCAAGCCTGGGCAACCTCTAGTCTTCCATGTAGGAAAACTGAAATACCATAATCAAGATTTCCAGTGACCAGTAGTAGCAGTAGTGAAAGTCACTTAGTCATGTCTGACTCTTGCGACCTCATGGACTGTGGCCCGCCAGGCTCCTCTGTCCATGGGATTCTCTAGGCAAGAATACTGGAACGGGTTGCCATTTCCTTCTCCAGTGCAGTGACTAGGAAGAGTCCAAACCAAAGGTACCATCCTAAAGTTACAGAAAGAGAATCCCTTCCCCTGTTTACTGGGATTTTTAAGGCTTAGTGCTGAGCTTACCCTCTACTGCGGTTATTACCACAAAGACTCAAAGTTGGTGGAAAATACTAGATGCGGTCTGACTCCCTCTCTGTAAGACAGGTATTGTCCAATGAATCTATTGCTTCTTTGAATACAGCAGCCCAGATGACCTAGATTTCATCTCAAATCCTGAAGAGGCTCCAACTGACCCCCAATCCAGATAATTCTTCCTAGAGAGAATCCCCTCAAAATATAAGGCCACGCTCTGCCACGTTTTGGGGGAATTCAACCCAGCAGAGGTTCAATATAGCCACTGAGACCTTACAGTTAAAACAGAAATGGCACCTTCAGAAAAGGACAAAATCTGATGTCAAGGGTCTTTCCAAATTACAGGAAAATGTAATTTCCCCCATTCCCAGCCCTTTGTCCACTGACAGCAAGATGCAGCTAGTGGCACACTCACGCCAGTCCCTCTAGCAGCTTGGGGAACCACTTACAACCAATTTCCTGCCGCAGAAAGGGAGTTGGTGTTCTTCACCATTGGCAGAACCACCATTGTAAACACAGGCCGTGGAGCATCCCTAGTATAGGACAGCTCTCGTGGTTCAGCTCAGTTGGCAGAGTTAGGGGCAGTGTACCTGGATCTATAACAGGCCATAAAAATGAGACTCATAAGGGCACACATTTTTACTCACATCCGGGAAGTAGCCAAAGGATTTGCAGTCTAGTCTGGGCAATGGCAAAAGGATAACTTCATGATTTGGGGAAAGTATATATGGGGAGCCTCCATTTGGAAAGAAATAGCTGACTCACGCATGTCAGTTATGATCACTCATGTCACTACACACACATACGTACAACAGCAAACACCAGAAGCTTATAGTAACATGACAGGCTCATCCAAATTACATCCCTGGACACAAAGTATCAAGAACAACCCTGGATATAACTGTTCCTCAGTGCCATACCCACTAACAGAGTGGACCCATTTATTTAAGGCCACAGGGGAGTGACAGCACTTACTGACTGGGCATACAGGTGTAGCATGCCCTTTATCCCAGCTCTAACCAAGGTGGTGGTAGATAATTGCTTCCTTTGTTCCCCAAAAATGTCTGGAACTATCCTTGGTGGAGACATATGCCCTGGATGACAGACTATTTCAGATGGCATCTCGAATTTATCAGGCTGCTGTTGCCCTTCACAAGATCTAATAGGTATGCACCACCATCATCCATAACTTCACTGAAGGCCTGCTGGCTACTTCCCATTATGTAATCTCCTTCTTAATCAAGCATGTGCTCATCCCGTTTGACCCACCAATGTAGATTCAGATCCAAGTACCCATCTCACCTCCCAGATTGTTCTGTCATGGGCTCTAGAATATGGAATCCTGAGGAATTCTACTTAGGTTCAGCCTCAAGCGGTTAGACTCACAAAAAGGCACAATGGCCTCAGTTTAATTCAGTTCAGTCGCTCAGTCGTGTCCGACTCTTTGCAACCCCATGAACCGCAGCACGCCAGACCTCCCTGTCCATCACCAACTCCCAGAGTTTACCCAAACTCATGCCCATTGAGTCAGTGATGCCATCTAACCATCTCATCCTCTGTGGTCCCCTTCTCCTCCTGCCTTCAATCTTTCCCAGCATCAGGGTCTTTTCCAATGAGTCAGCTCTTCACATCAGGTGGCCAACGGCCTAATCAAAGACATATTCCTCAAGCTTTTATACAGTTATATTGTGCCCCAAGCAGAAATTTGGCCCCAGGCTCTAATACGTCTTAATTCCCAGACTCCATGTCTCCAAAAGTCCCCATATGTACTTACCAGTCGTCTCCAAAGACTTCCCTGTTAGTACTGAAAGCGAACCCACACTCCTTTGACATTAGAGAGGATGTCATTCACATCCACTCACCAGATGAGTACACCCTTTACCATTTTGATTATTCAATGTCTCTCTGTCTTCCACATGCTGGTGGTCCAATCAAGGGTGGGTTGTGCATGCAATATGATTGAAAGCCTGAGAGGAAAACTCCTACCAAATTCCTTAGAATCGTTTTACAGATTTTATTGACCCAGAAAATGACTAGGGCCACTGGCTATGCCTCACTATTCAGGTTATAAAAGACTAGTTAATTAAAAATTCATCACAAATTTTGCGAGAGCTCCAGGACCCCGTAGCTGAACTGTGTGGATCTCAGAGAGTGGAAAAGTGGCCCTCAACCTAGTGGTTGCCAACCACATTAGGATATGCAATCCAAAAAGGACCCTGGGATCTAGCTGCCTCTATCAGCAGGTGTGGGCTGGGCCCCTGCCTGACATTAGATGAAGAGGTAAATGACCTCTTGCTCCAAAGCAACTAACCTTTGGCCAGTATCAAAATTGCTGGCCCAAAGAAGACCCCTTTGTATGGACATAAAAATATTTTAGTCTGTACGTGTCTCTAGGTCTGAAGAGGGTCTCTTGTAGGCAGCAATATTCTTGTTTCTATATACATTCAGCCAGTCTGTGTCTTTTGGTTGGAGCATTTAATCTATTTACATTTAAGGTCATTATCAATATATGTGTTTCTATTGCCATTTTCTTAATTGTTCTGGCTATGTTTTTGTAGGTCTTTTTTATTCCCTTCATCTTTTGTTCTCTTATGTTTCCTGCATAGAGAATCCCTTCAGAATTTGAGGTAAAGCTGGTTTGGTGGTGCTGAATTCTCTTAGCTTTTGCAGTCTGTACATTTTTTATTTCTCTGTAGAATCTGAATAAGAGCCTTGCTGGGTAGAGTAGTCTTCATTGTAGGTTTATCCCTTTCATTACTTTAAATACATCATGCCACTCCCTTCTGGCCTGCAGAGTTTCTGCTGAAAAAACAGCTGACAACCTTATGGGAATTCCCTTGCATGTTATTTGTTGCTTTCCTCTTTTTGTTTTTAATATTTTTTTCTTTGTGTTTGATTTTTGTTAGTTTGATTAATATGTATCTTGGCGTGTTCCTCCTTGGGTTTATTCTGTATGGGACTCTCTGAACTTCCTGGACTTGGGTTACTATTTCATTTCCCATGTTAAGGAAGTTTTCGACTATAATCTCTTCAAATATTTTCTCAGGCTCTTTCTCTTTCATCTCTTTCACTTCTTCTGAGATCCCTATAATGTGAATGTTGGTGCATTTAATGTTGTCCCAGAGGTCTCTGAGACTGTCCTCATTTCTTTTCATTCTTTTTTCTTTATTCTGTTCCATGGCAGTGCTTTCCATCATTCTGTCTTCCAGCTCACTTACCTGTTCTTTTGCTTGGGTTATTCTGCTATTGATTCCTTCCAGAGTGTTTTTCATTTTAGTTATTCTATTGTTCATCTCTGTTTGTTCTTTAGTTCTTCTAGGTCTTTGTTAAACATCTCTTGTATCTTCTCAATCTGTGTCTCCATTCTTTTTCCAAGATCTTGGATCATCTTTACTATCACTATTCTGAATTCTTTTTCAAGTAGATTGCATATCTCCTCTTCATTTAATTTTTCTTACAGATTTTTACCTTACTCCTTCATCTGCAGCAGATTTCTCTGTCATCTAATTTTGTCTAACTTAATGTACTTGTGGTCTCCTTTCCTTTTTCCCTTTTTTTTTCTTAAAAAAAAAAAACAGAGGATTTTTAGGATACTGAAATTTCTCTGGATGATACTTTCATGGTGGATACACGTCATCACACATTTGCCCAAACCTATAGACATACAACACCAAAGAGTGGACCCTACTATAAACTATGAACTTTAGGTGATAATGATGTGTAGGCTCGATTGTAACAAATGTACCACTCTGGTTGAGAATGTTGTGAATGGGGAAGGCTATGCATGTGTTGGGGCAGGAGCATATAGGAAATTTTTGTACCTTTTCCTCACTTTTGCTGTGAACCTAAAGCTTCCCTGAAAAGTAAAGTCAACTGAAACAAAACAAAACAAATCATAATACCTTTAGGAAAAATACAACACCCTAAAGAGTTCAATATAAATTTCAAAGGAACAGCTAAATAAATATTGGAATGATTTTCTCTACTCTCTTTGCTGTGAAAACTACACATCCTTCAAAGTCCAGCTTGAAAGCCCCTTCTTCAGTGAAGTCTTTCCCAGTTCCTGGACACACTTAGTCACTCCACTTCCTGCGACACCATCCTGCTATCACAGCACTAATACCATGCTATAGAGTAGGAGTTCTCAAAATTGACTGAGCATCAGTATCACCTGGGAGAGCTATATTAAAACACAGGCTTCTCATCCCTGCCATAGACCTGAATTTGGAGATTCTGATTCTGGAGCTGATGAATTTCTAACATCCTTCTAGATGACACTGATGCTGTGGTTCATGAACCACACTTATAGAAGCAGTGTTACAGTTTATTCTACACATGGCTGGCTCCCATAAGACTGACAGCTCAAAAAGGAACCTCATCCAGCACATAATAGGCATTGAGTAAGCATCTTACTTTTTTTTGCTTCTTTTTATCAGTCTCATCCTGTAAATTTTGAAGGGCATTTTGCATGAGCTTCATGTTCAAGTCCTGCTCTTCTCTGTATTCCTGCTGCATACGCTCCATCTTCTCTTGGAGGGCTTTTTGCAAAGCAGCCCTTGTTTCCTGTTTTGTCTTCTGTTTCTTTAGCTTATCTTGTTCATTCTCAAGTTTCACCTGTGCATTTTCATTTTCCTAAGGCGGAACAATAATGAAGATAATGCATCAGTACAGTTGGACAAAACAAAAAAGTTAATGCATTTCATTTAAGGGGTGAGAATAAAGGGTTTCTTGGAAAACACACACTCCTGGGTGTAAAGGGACTATGAGATGTAAAACTTGACTTTTCATTGCTGAATCAACAATAAGGCTTTGTGAAATTGCTGTGTGTGATTATAAAGTAACAAGTAGTGTGGAGTTCAAAATGTAGAAAAGTATAAAGATAAATCACTTTTATTCTTAGTACCCATTCACCTACTACCATTCTCAACATTTTGGTGTATTGACTTTCCAGACTTTAGCCTTCCACGTGTATCTGCATATCTAGATTTGGATACATTATTAACCAGCAATTAGAGTCTAAGAATGGATATGTGCACATCAGTCAAATATACAAAAGTAAATTAAGCATTTTGTTCTTTAAAAGTACTTCCCATTCCTCTCATTTTCTTATCTATCTGACCCTCCTGGCTGGCTTACCTGTGTGACCAATCAAGCAGTTTTAACTGGGGCACCAACGCTGCTGGGTGTTGGGAGTTTGGTAGAAAATCTGGGTATGGTGTAAAGTGAGGCATTAATCCTCCCACCAAAGGCATTTGAACTCTCCTGGAGGGATAAGTCCTTTCCAAGCTGGGACGGGAGATGACACAGTTATATAGTGAGGAGAGATACAAGTCCCAGCTGACTTGATCTGAGACTCACAACAGCCATGAATATCATGATTTTTGGCTGGTGAGAAGAGAGTTATATGCTAGACTTTTCCATTAATGCCATGAGCAGTAAATCCACACTGAATTGTGAGAGTCAAATGAAATAATATAATTGAAAATACTCTGCAGTATTTAAGGCAAAACAGCGGACATCAAACATAAAAGCCAGTGGTATAGCAGGTCACACATTTTAAAAAGTAAGATTGACTACAGGAAGCAGCAATCATCCAAATCAAACTATGAAACAGGCAGAGATGGAAATAGGAGAGAATTGTTCAAGATTAAAAAACCTACAAGTGGTTTACTATGTCTTGGTTTCCCCAGGTTAGTTAACTGCACCCCTTTCAATCTCAAATATGCCCAGATTTGAATGATAAACAGTCACTCTTTCAAAACTACTTATGACAGGACAGCAATGTTTGGATCCCAATTTAAATGTCAAATAACTTAGACAATAATGGAAATTTGATACTGGTTTTAGGTGATAACAATGAATTATTATTAATTTTAGGTTTGAAATGTATAAGAAAAGTCCTTAATTATATTGTTGTTGAGATGCATACTCAACAACAAGAATGTATTTAAAGGGGAAATGACATGTGTGGGACAAACTGTAAGTCAAAAATGGAAGGGGGTAGAAAACAGGAAATCAATACTCAAAGTATAACAGCTGTTCAAACTGGGAGATTGGTACACAAGGGCTCATGGGACTCTCCACTTCTGTGCATTTGAAAATGTTCATATTATTACTATTTAATACAACAGTATTATGATAACACATGTTATTATTATAACATTAGAAGGGTGGAATTTATATAACATATAAATTACAAAATAATAGTGTTAAAGAACCTATCAGTGGCTGCTAGGGGTTAGGGTGGAGGGTAGTGATAAAAGAAAATTTATATTTTGAGGATAAACAAGAAAATTTAAACATAAAATTCTCTCCACCATTTTGGGCCTTCTCCCTCCCTCTTGACAGTGCAATATGCATCTTCATTAGACATTAACCAGACCTCCTCAAAGATGGGAATGCCTTCTTCACAGTAAAGATCAATTTTTATTTTCTTCTTCTGACACTAGCAATGGAACTTCTTAGATTAGTGTTCTTTCCAAATTCTGTAAGGGGCCATGGTGACTTACTGCTTGCTTTATATGTGCTTATCTGGACCATTTATATTTGGTGAACTGTATGTAAAATACCAGTGTGTCTTTTTGATGTATGACCCTTTGACTTGAAAAGGCATATGAACATGCTTTCAACCACTAACAGGCAGAGCAATTCTCAGAGCTTCTGAGAGTTTGTCTCCCATATTATAATCCTTGGTTTGACTTGAATAACATTCTCCTTTTCTTCTTAAGCAGACCTGCAAACCGGGTATTGTACCCACTGAGTTCACCATCCTACCACAAGCACTTGAAAAAACCCACCACAAGGCGCGCCTCTTCCTCCTTCAGCCGCTGCGCCGCCTGCCTTTGCGCCTGGATGCTGGCGACCTGGGCATTTAGCCCCAGGCGCGTGTTCTCCACGAGCTCCTTGTGCCGCCTCTCCTCCTTAGCCTCTCGCCTCTCTTTGGCCAGGCGGTCTTCCTCCCAGAGTTTTGAGAACATATGCTCTTCCACCACCCTCTGCCTTTTCAGCTCCTCGTTAAACGCTATCTGAGCTTTCCGCTCCTCGCACACGGTCTTCTGATGGATACAAAACAGCTCAGAGCGAAGCTCCTGGCAGCGTTCCCTGAAAGGGCAATTTAAAAAAGAAATCGAGCCTTTCATAAGACATTGCTCTCTTTAGGCACAAATCTGCACCGTCAGACACTGAAGTGAGAAAGGTAAAGAACTGGATGTAGGCAATCTGAGCAGCCGATACACATGGCGGAGCAGCAAGGAGGAAGACACCAGGATGCCACAGACAAAATCCAGGACCTGGAGTCAAGCGGAGCCGCCTCTGAATCCTGGTTCTGACATTTCCTGTGTGACCTTGGGTCACAGACTCGATCTATCTGAGCTTATTTTTATATCTGTAAAAGAACTGTCTTTAAAGGTTCTGCCAAGGATCAGGGATAAATGGATGTAAATACCTGGTAGATAACAGGAACTCAGTAAATGGTAATTACTGTGATTACTAGAGAGAAAACAGAGGAACAAGTCCCTGCAACATTAGTTAGATTAAGGCTTTGGTAGAAAGAGACCCTGTATGTACACCCAAGAAGAGATCCAAGGATAGCGTCTGCATGATCACAGTGACGCTTCCCTATTGCCTCTGGATTCCAGGCAGGGCAGGACACACGTCCACTAAAAGGCTTACTGTTAGAGTTGAGAAAACAGTCCTATTCTTGCCTTGTGGCAACCAGGTTTATGTCACCGTTCAAGAGGAAATGTTATTTCAGTAAGTGTGTAGACCTTATTCTTTCTTCAGCTTTCTTCAGATGTTCTTCATTGAACCCATTTTTAATAAAAGAGCTGTGAAATTCAGCACTGACTGTACTTTAGAATTATTCAGCTATATTTTCTAAACTCCACTCTTCCTTTCCTCCAGATCAGACTTGTTAAACCAGAATATCAGGGGATAAGACTCATCTGCATTTTCTTAAGAGTACCTCAGGTGGTTCTGACATTTAGCCAAGTTTGAGAGAACATTTGATGGGAAGGCTTTAAAAAAAAAATCAATTCTTCCCGTCTTCTAAATCAAATTCTACACGAAGAAGCTAAAGTCTGGAGAATGAGCTCAACAAAGAATTTTAAAGAAATTTGAATTGCTAAGACTGAAAGAAAGGATGAGGTCTAAACTCTTATTACCCAAGGATGGCCAGTATCACACAAAATGACATTTATGAGATGTGGTTGAGTATTGTTTACCATTTGATGGGGATTAGTCTCACTTCTCTAAATGAATCTCTGTGAGAGCTGGGACTCAGGATATATTTCAGGAACATATGACCCATACTACTTACCCAATGACCAATAAATAATTTTTGGTTTAATCATACTGATTATCAACATACCAGCCATCCACATTCTGTGGAAGGTGCAATAGGTAACAGAAGGTGAAGTTACTAGGTTACAAAAAAAACACTTTAACACTGAAGAAAACAAATTCATCTGTCTAGAATTCATCACTGAAATTCTCAGATTTGGCCATGATAACTTACTAAAGTCCTTCTCAATCCCATGATTCATATTCTAACAAAGCTATTCAATTAATGGAAATCTAAAACATAAGAATAAGAAGTATGGCTTATATTTTAAATTTTTATTTAAAATAAACTCTCTTCCTAAGCATAAAACTTATACATGTTCATTGCAGAAAAACTGAAAATAAACAAAATTATGAAGATACTAGAAATAATGCTAGTCCTACTATTAAGAGATAAACACTATTAGTATGTTAATATATATTTCTTTCCTATGTATGTATCTTTTTACTAGAATTGGGGTCTTTCTGCATATCTATATCTCCTGTATTTTAATTTTTCTGCCTACCATTTTATTGGGAATGTTTTCTCATGAAATATTCTTTAAAATATTTTCTAACTTCAAAACTTTATTATAGTTTAATAAGCTGCATAGTAGAGACTAGAGTCTATAAATATATCACAGTTTACTTAAACATTCCCCTATTTGATGAACATAAAGGTTACTTCTGACTTTTATTGCAATGTTGCAATGAACATGGTTTCTGTCACTCTGTTTATTGCTAATGATTTTTTTAAGGTAATTCCTTCCTTAATATAAAACCAGAGTACAAAAACATTCTTAAGGCAGTTAGTTGATACATGCTGACAAGGCCAGAATTAACACTGTATGAAAGAGCTCATATCATATTCATTTTTTTAGATCAGTAGATCTTCAAACTTTTTTGATTATGCATGTCTTTCAGTAAAAAAATTCTAAGCACCCACAATATTACTTATAAATTATATGAGGTTATTAATATGTAACTATATCATATAAATTAGCTAGCCACACAAATTAAAATGAGCTGAGCTAAAAAGCATTAAATAGAATACCTACCTATTTTAATGATAATAATTACTGATAAGAGGAAAACTTTTTGTCAGTGCTTTACATGGTACTTTCACATATAAAATCTTATTTCATCCTCATAAGGACCTTATAACTTAGATGGGACAGCAAGTATTATCCCTATTTCAGAGTTAAAGAAATCAAAACTCAGGGAGCCAAAATATCTTTTCAAGTCACAAAGCCAGGAATAATAATATTATTAACAATAGTTATTAAGTGCATATTATTTGCCAGGCACTGTTCCAAGCAGTTTACATGTCTGAACTCTTAAAATCTTCATAACAACCAATACAGCAACAAACACTATTGTAAGCTCATTATTACTATTATTTTATCCTCAGGTTGCAGATGAGGAAATGAAGGCACAGAGCAATACTGGGTAGCAAAGGTATCCACTGACAAAATGAAAGGACAAGCTACCAAATGAGAGAAAACATTTGCAAATGACATGAATGGTAAAGGGTTAATACCCAACATATAAAAACAACCCATACAACTCAATTAAAAAAAAACACCCAATTAAAAATGGACAGAGGAACTGAAGACATTTTTCCAAAAAGGACATGCAAATAGCCAACAGGCACATGAAAAGATGATCAGCGTATCATCAGGGAAATGCAAATCAAAACCACAGTGAGAGAACTCCCTGGCAGTCCAGTGGTTAGGGCGTCATGTTTTCACTGCCGAAGGCCTGGGTTCAATCTCTGGTCAGGGAATGAAGATCCCATAAATGACACAGTGTGACCAAGAAAAAAAGGAACAAAACCACAGTGAGATTCCAGTTGCACTTGCTTGTCCTAATGGCTATCATGAAAAAGAACACAAATAACAAAGTTGGCAAGGATGTCATGCAGCCATGGTGGAAGACAGTATGAACGCTTCTCAAAAAACTAAAAAGAAAACTTCCATATGACCCAGCAATTACACACCTGGGTACATATCAGAAAAAAGCAAACAAACAAACAAACAAAAAAACCAAAAGCTAAAAACACTAATTCAAAAAGACACATCCACCACAATGATAGCAGCATTATTTATAATTGTCAAGATATGAAAGCAACGTAAGTGTCCATAAACAGATGAATGGATAAAGAAGATGTGGTACATATAGACAACAGACCCCCAGCCATAAAAAAGAATAAAATTTTGCCATCTGCAGCAAAATGGATGGACTTGGAGGGCATTATGCTAAGTGAAATTAAGTCAGACAGAGAAAGAGAAATACTGTATGTTATCACTTATATGTGGAATCTAGAAAATACAACAAGCTAGTGAATATAACAAAAAAGAAGCAGACTCATGGATATAGAAATCAAACTAGTAGTTACCACTGTAGAGAGGCAAGTGGGAAGGGGCAGTACAGGGGGAGGGGATAAAAAAATTTTTTTCACAATGTACTCAAAAGCATGATCTGTAAAAGAAAAATCGATAAATTGGATTTCATCAAAATTAAAAACCTTTTCTCTGTGAAAGACCCCACTAAGAGGATTTAAAAAAAACAACAAGCTACAGACCAGGAAAAAATATTTCAAAACTATATATCCTACAAAGGACTCATATCTGGAATATACAAAGAATTCTCAATACTCAACAGCTAATCCAATTAGAAAATGGGCAAAAGACATGAAGATACATTTCACCAAATTGAATATACACATGGCAAACAAGCATATGAAAAGTTGCTCAACATCACAACCCATTAAGGAAATGCCAATTAAAGCCACAATGAAATATCACTGCACACCTCTGTCCTAATAATGACAGTATCAAAAGCTGGCAAAGATATGAAAAAACTTGATCTTTTATACATTACTGGTAGAAATATAAAATCATACAGCCATGTTGGAAAATAATTTATTAGTTTCTTACAAAATTAAACATACATATAACACCCAGCATATGGCAATTATCTGAGAGAAAGGAAAATTTATGTTCACACAAATATGTGAACACAAATGTTCATGTTAGATTCATTCATAATAGATAAAAACTAGAAACAATCAACATGTACATCAATAAGTGAATGGTTTACAGAAATTTAAATACATCCACACAATGGGATACTACTCAGCAATAAAAAATGACAAACTATTAATACATGCAGCAATTTAGATGAACTTCAAAGACAATTCATTGAAAAAGGCCAATTTTGACAGATCACATATTGTACAAGTTCATATATATAATATCAGGAAATTATGAAGATGAGGGTGAGAGTGGTAGTTGTGACTATAAAGGGAAGCACAAGGAAGACCCTTGTGGTGATGGAATAGTTCTTGATTGTGTGGGGTATTAAATGGATCCACATACATGATAAAATGGCACAGAATTATACATATACATTATGCCAATGTCAATTTCCTTGTATGATATTGTGTTATAACCACTGAAGGAAAACTGGGGTAAGAATATATGATATTTCTGTACTATCTTTACAATTTGTGTGAATACATAATTATTTACAAGTAAAAATTTAAAAAGTCACTGGTTATCTTGTTATTATTCATTTCCTTTCATTATTGTTACTGAAAGTAATTTTGCTGTTTAGAAGACCTGGAACAGTAAAAAATGACCCATTCTAATTATCAAATATTCTAGGTATGCCACTAAATATACTAAAAGAAATTAATGAACTTATCTGCCAGAAGACATGTACAAGAATGTCCACAGCAGCTTTATTAATAAGGGTCCAAAACTAGAAATACATGAAAT